TATGGAGTAACTTTAAATATCCTGTTTTAGAAGGACAGAGCACATCCACCATCTATAGAAGAACTCCAAAAAAATCAAAAAGGCGAGCAACATCAACTGGACTGCAAAGAAGACTTTTGAAAGTAAATAGATATGTTTCAGAAAGGGAAGCCATATGCTAAGCAAAGAATAGAAAAAACCCCGCATAAATACTAGTAATTTTTCTGTATAAAAAATAATGGCAGATCATGAAAGATATTGAGAAACTACTTTATAAAGAAATAAAATCTAATAAGGAAGCTTTTAAGAACATAAAGAAAGCAGCAAGTCTAAAAGAGCAACAGACTATTAATTGAGTGTGTTCTGAAAAATAAAACCAAAGCAAGAAAGAAAAATAAACAGTGTTGACTACAGACTAGGTAAAAGGAGACCCTAAACCATGCCAAAGACTGATCTTCTACAAAACTGTCAAGAGAAAAGCTTTTGGAAGATAACTGACACAAATTCAACTTGTCCCTCTCCAACACCTGTGGGACGGTTTGGACCTGGCTCCCTGCCAAATGCCCGAAAGTTACGACAGCAGTCCCCTTCCCCCTCCTTTCTTCCCTTAGGTTAAAGGAAAAGAAACTATAAAAGTTAAAGAACCCAAAGTCAAGCTGCTTATGTAAAAATATATCTATATTTACGTAAATTACAATTATGTACAGTTAAGATGCTATATACACAGTAAAAGGGGGTCCACCCCCCGCAGGGATAGGGAAAGGGAAAAAGGGGACGAAAGGGAACAAAGGGGACACCGAACAGGTATACTAGATCAAACTATACTAATAACTAACAAAACAGATTTCACCACGTCCCTTAGAACAGCAGGATTGGCAGTCACAGCCAGCACTCTCCAAACTTCCACGTGGCAGGACGGTGGACTCTGCAGGCCTCAGCCTTAGATAAGCGAGACCAATGCAGGGACCCACTGTTCCCAAACCTCGCCGGAAGAGAGCGAGGTCTCTAATCTCCGACTTATTTATACTCTGGTTTATGTAAAAATTGTATGGAATACTGGGTACTTGTCTACTTCCTTGGTTACAAACTGGTCACCAGGAAGGCCTAGACGAAAACCATCACAACCTGATAACATACACTCAAGACTTCTAAAGGATCTTACATACAGCAAGGCTGACATACAGCAGTGGTAAATAATTCATCAACTAAATAAACTCTGGAGTGAGACAAAGGAAAGTGGCAAATGTAACTAATGTTACAAAAGGGATTCAGGGTACAGCATTCAGGAAATGAGAAACTAATCAGCCTGACTTCACATCTAGGCAATTTGATAGAAATGTATTAATACTACAATTACTAAATATGTGGAAAATATGATGTGAAAACTTAACACAGCTGATGCAAAGGAAAGTCATGCTTCAAATGCTGTGAAGAGTGATGAATTTCTAAAAAGAAAGTTGTCACTTTATCACAAAAGGCAAAAGAAATCCAAGAAGTCTTCTCAGTTTCCTTTTAACTTTGGGGCAATAGTTTATGGAGAGAGTGAAGAAGACAGGCATAAAAGATAAGGAAGTCAGTATTGTAGCTGAGAGATTTCTTGTGCCTAAGATCAATATCATCCGCATAACTGATGTACTAATCACCAGAGAAAAGGACCTCACAGGAAGATGAGCAAGATCAACCTCATACCTAGAGATTAAGTAGTGTGTTCAGGTCAGTCTGGATTGCTGCAGAGGATCAAGTTTAATGCACAGAGAGATGGTGACTATTAGCGACAATACGAACCCTTTTCACTCGAGCTATCATGGCAGATAGATGAGAGGATGAAACATGTGGCACAGGATGAGAGCTGTATATTGCAAATGAACAGAGCTGTAAAAACACAAAGAATTACTCTGTTCTTAAACTAGCTGAATGATCTCTTGGAAGAACAGATTCTACTCCTACATGTGCCTGTGCTGCTAAGTAAATCACTCAAATTAAATAGTTTACAAATTTTATGTTTGTTTTACATACTTATGAGGGGCACCATAAAAAAGTCAGAAAAGAGATTAATAGAAAAGAGATTAATAGTTTTGTCTTTGTATAAAAACTTGAATACTGTGCAATAAATAAAGCACATGATCACATTCTACAATAAAGAGAAAAAATATCGACCAGTGGTTTATTAAAATGAGCTCTATCTACTCCGTGCACTAAATGAGGCCAGACTTTTGGAAAGAATATTATGTAATGATGTAATTAAAAACAGAATCATGATATAACCTTAACTAAATTTGCACTGGCAAATTTAATTCTAAGAGTTTACTTACTTTTAAATACATTATTTTACAACCTTATTTAGAATCTCCGAGTCATTTAATGTATTTTTGCTTTGATTTCTTCATATTTAAACACTTCTACTGAAGCAACATGAATACCATGTGTTTACATATCATTTTCGTTTCGCAAATATAAACTAATTAGCCCTTTCCCAATAATCTGAAAGATAAGTAATAAAATATATCTTATCAAGTTTCAGAAAAGAAATTCAGTGATAGTTAAGAAGAACACAGTCCAAAAAGGATTATTAGCTAGGTGTGACTTCTGGTCTAAATATATTCTCCTTCCTTCCTTCAAAAACACTCAGTATTTCATCACCTGAAAATGCCCTGTGCCTTGAGGTTTAGGCCTTGACCTTTACAGCCAGTAAAGGCAGGGAAAAGAGACAGACCCATGAGGATGGAAATACTTTGTAGAGCATTACAGTTTCACCATTTTCAACCAATCAATGTCTTTTACATTTGAATTACAATTTGAATTATTTGACTCCTCCTTTGGAACACCATTCGTTTTAAAATTAGAGATGTCAAAACTTTTCCTGTGCAGCAATGCAGATCTATTTATTTATAGAAATATTCTTGATTGAAGCATAACAATTACAATCCTTCTTCTTACAGTCCATTTTTAGTGGAAAGTTCAAAATATCATTGAATTAAAAACTCTTTTTGCTTTATCTTCTTGAGATGAGGCAACCAATATTTCAGCATGCTAGACCACAGTCAGCAATTCACCTATGATACCATTGCATTTAACCCACAGGAAACCTTTTCTGTTCTAGATACTTAATCATTTGTACATTCATTCCACTAATTTTGTATCATTCAGCTCCAAGAACCAAACCCTTATCCCCTTAGTAAAAAGTTACCTTAGTAATTTTTAAGAAATGCAACACTTTGTATAACATTAATTTGTTTTAAAATACCAGAAGGAAATGCAGTACTGACTAACAGTCTTTGAAGAGAGGTGACTGTTTAAAAGAATATTTCAAAAGCATAAGTACAAGTGAACCAGTGTCAACCACCTTGGATATTTTTATACATCAAACTGGTGTATAATGCATATACCATTATGCCAGTCTGTGTCCAATAGCAGAGCGCTGTGCTCTGGTTAAATGACCACTTGGGTCACAGAAACAGTGACATGGCAGCTGAAAGGTCTGGTGACTAAGGAACGGGTTTTATTCTGGCCCAGCACCATACTCATGTTGTTATGCTGCTGTAGTCTAGGAAGTTGAGAGACTTATTCAAAAATTATATTTATGTCTTTTACTGGGGTGTGCTCTTTCGCTGTTAGAGAGACAGAGTTCCTACCTAACAAGATTTCAGACTGACACATTGGCAAGTATTGCAAGTGGTGGCCTCTCATCATTGCTTTTTGTTCACCAGTTCCAGAGTAAGCTGCTAAAGCACAGTCATGCAAAGATGTAGACTATTAAAGTGTTTTATGAATCAGAGATGCTATGTTTCATGGAAAAAACCACTGGATTTTATATCACAAGCCGTTCACTTCGGAAAGTTGATTTGCGCTCTTAACTCATGCAAAGATTTGAAAAATTTCCTGTAAGGGTATCAGGATGATACAGCATTGCTTGCCATACATCTGAGCCATTTTTGTTTCAGGTCATTTTACCTCTTGAGACTGGTAAAGAGAAAAGTAAATGTGCTTGATTCGGCCTACTTGGTTTGCATACTCAAGACTGTCTGGCCATCCCAAAATCATCTGTAAGATCTGTCACTTATATGAGCTGATTAACCTAAATAGAGTATTTGTATTTCTTTGTGGCAGAAAATACTTGGTCTTTTAACTTATTTGAAGTTTGCAGTACATACTGAAATTTATTCCTCCAACCACAAAAACCATATTGATTTCTGTACTGAATTCTACAAAGATGAATTTAAAGTAAGTATGTAATATTCTCATGTAAGAATTCAATGAAAAATATCTCAACTGTCTGGATGATTAATATTCAAGAACTGAAAAGCATAATTCTTCAACAATTGCTGGGGCACATTTAAAATGAACAAAACCAGCAAACGATGGGTGAAAGAAGGCTGTAAGCCACATATTACAAAAGAGGTTCCCTCCCACGTGTCAGCTATGCTATTTTGTCCATGAAACATTGATGGCTTTGCTCCTCTCTGTGCAAATTAAAGCACATCTAGAGATTTACATAAAAGCTACAGATACCTTCGCCTTTGGTCATTTGTCCACAAGGTGAGAAAGGCCAATGTGAACTCTCTAGTTAAATTCGTTTTATGTGATTGACATTTGGGGTTTCAAGCATGAGATAATGACTTTTTGGGCCCCAAATGTGGAGAACTAACCAAGCAAGTTAACTTTGCCAAACCTCTTTAGCCCTCTCCTAACACACTGACCCTACTGCTCTACCCCTTCCTGTCTCTGGAGCCTTGTCAGTATTATCCCCTGCAGTGGAGCTGTGCTGTGCTAATAAAGTAAGGCCAGGGACAGCTTCCATTAGTTTAAAAGCAAAAAGATGACTTAGCTGTGATTTTTAAATTATTTTGTCACTGAATTGTATTAGTATCTGAATTGACTTTCACTGAATGTTTAAACCAATTTCTAAATCTCTTTTACAGTATTTTAATTTTTTCCCTCACATATTATTTGACCACACAAAACATCAGTAAATTAATGCCTTACTGAAACGACCTCCAAGCACAATAAAAATATGTTCTTACTTGTTTAAGTTTCTTTAGATCTTCATCGAGTTCCAAGTTGTCCAAAATAACAGCAACAAACAAGCTGAGTAGAATCTACAAAACAATTGTAAATGATTTGTTAAAGTTTACTTTATGTTTCTTAAGTACTGTTAAATGACATGGAAAAATGATGGCCCTACAGATATAAACAGGATTTTTACCTTTGTCATCTGTAATATCTTCTAGCTACTACCTCCTAGCCATTTTGCAAGTACTAAATTGTTTTTTATTTTACCATAAAATTAATATGAGTTTACAAATGTTGAATTCTAGGTTTGATGACCGATGCTTTATATATGTTTAACAATATACCCACTAAAATGTACTTCGCATGAAAAGAAAATTAAATTAACCAGAAATAATAATTAAAAAATCCCATAAAGCAAAATCCTAAAACAGCTTGTAAAGTTAAGGTAGTTTTCAATTAAGGTCGGAATCTTAGCCAGACCAATGCAGCTGGATTGACACTTACCAGCTGGATCAATGCTGAAACCAGGATTGGCATCCCCCCAGCTGGATTGACACTTGAAACAGGAGTCTTTTTCTCTTTCTTTTTCTCTTTTTCTTTCTCTCTTTCTTAATTAATTCATCTCTCCCCCTTTAATTTCTCTCTTCCCTTTTACCCTTCCCCTTTATCCAAAACTCACTGCCATGTGCGTATATAGTAGGTCAAGGACTAACATACCAATTCCCATGAAAAGTGGAACTTTCTGACTGCTTGTGGACCCTCTGACTTTTGTGATTCCTTTAGATAACCATTTATGAATTTTAGGTGCTTCCTTCCCCTTAGGGGTGGGTAGTCACACACAAACTCCTGATCCCTAATTGCTGAGGAACAGTTTTGCTATAATTCTGTCAGGATTTTACAGTATGGTGTTTTTTCCTTCAGATATGTTATATATTTCATGATACTCCAGAACTTGCAGCTCAAAGCATATCAGTTAAGGAAGTGCTGTTCCACAGTTAAAAGAAGTACAGTACTCATTAAAGATATCACCCCTTCCAGTCTTGCTGATTCACGCACTGATATGTACCAAGACAAGACTTTATTGCTCCCTTTTTTCTTTTTTTTTCAACAAGAACTGAAGACAATGTACCACAAAAGTTAAAAGCAAACTTGTTATTTGTTTAACTTCCTCTGCTGCCATCTCAACTAATAACAGTCCTCGTTTCCAAGAGTGGGATTTTTTTTCCAAGCTTCAACTTTTCCTTCTAATGTGAAACCTATTCATTTCTTTCCAAGGCTCTACAGTGTGCTTTGCCAAATGCCTGCAATTATCTCTTCTCAGTTCTAATCCTCCTCCCTCTTCCAGTTGTTAAAAGTAATTTCTTCATTTGACTTCACTCTTGTTATTCACTGATGGCTGTTTATTCTTAGAATGCTTCTTTTAGGTTTCAGTAGCAGCCCAACTGTTGTCATGCTCCCTTACCAGTTCCATGTTATTTTCTTTCTTTAAACTTCTTTTGCCTACAGACAACTCTATCCTACATAGATTTTCTCTTCCAGGGTCTGAGGAAGGTCTTAGAACTGAAACTAAAAACTTCATAAGCCCAGGTAATTCTGAAAAGTTGTCTTTGCAGAGTTTCTTTATTCATGTAAAATTTGCATAGGTGAATGAGAAGAAAAGCAAGGACTATGTACTTAAATGCAAATTCCTTGCAAAAGGACTGAGGATGGTGTACTGAGACTTTGCTTCTAGCAAAATAAGTGTTTTGAGTAAACAAACAGAGAAGTCCCAGACGACTCTTTCAAAACATGAAAGATAAGGCACAATAGGAAAACTGCTCTTATAGCTCAGTTACTTCTCAGTTAAGATATGACTTTTTGGAACAGAGGCCACTTGACACTATGTTGCTTTATGGACTTGCTTAATGCTCACCTAAGATGTAAAGACTGATGCCAGATCAGACAATGTTCTTGATAAAGCATCACAAAACATCAATAAGATTCTCTTACTAATACCTGCTTTTAAAGCAATGGCCAAAACTCACTCCTCTTTTGCTTTCTATCCCCAATTCCTAAGGAGTTTTAAAGACCACTGCAGCATGAAAAGTTGTTTTTCCTGACCCTTGTGAGCAAATTACATGTCCTATATATCTGCTGATACCTACATTTGTTTGGCTTCTATTTTAATTTGGCTAAGCAGCTCTAAGAGCATGAAATGTGCTTTATTGCCAATTATAAAGTGGTCAAGTTTTCAATCCATATGAAGGAATCTGCTGCACCCACAATTACAGTCCAATTATTCAGCCTTTAGAAGTGAAACAGGACATACTGTAAAGTTAAAGAAGTAAATAGAAGCTGATGAAGATTGTATAAATACATTTAGTACCTTATGTAAGTAGACAATTGAGCAAAGAATGAAAATGGAAGGAAGAAAGTGAAAATAAGAGTAAGTGCATCAAAACCTATAGTGAATGGAAAATATAAAATGAGCAATAGTAGGAGTGAATTAAGGGTGCATAAAATGGTTAGGCCCCCCCCCCTCCCCCCCAACTGTGTTATCTTCTCTGTTCTAGAATTCAAAATACAGTATTGACCACTTATTGATATAGGATAACCAAAGAGATGTTTTCCTTCCCATTTTCTCTAACAAAGAAGGTAATAACCCCATTTTAAAGGCATACAGAAAAATAGGGTTTTAAGATATAATCCCCATTTCTGTATACATGCAGGAACTGCTGTATTAGTTCTCATCCATTTATTGCTTGATATTCTATGTTATAGATATATGTGCATTGATTTTGCATCAGACAACAGTGAAGTAGTGATTACTAGTTATGTTTATATCCTAAGGCTTTACACGTCTTACTTTAATTGCTGTTGCAAAGAGAATGCAATGAAAGCTGAGGAGACTATTTCTACGTGATAAATAAAATCAATTGCTTAACTCTGCAATCATTACAGCTGTGAAGGTACAAGACAGATAACAATTTTATTGTTAGTCTAGCAGTGTTATTTGGATCTAAGAAGAACAACACCTCACACCAGAACTAAGCCCACCACTTCATGCCACAAGGCTGAAGGGTAAATTAATTCTAGCACATCAAAGAATCAGTCCTGAAGTCCTCTATGCTAAAAATGGGCATCACAATTAGTTTTAACTAGCTGAGAATAGTAAGTAATACAAGAGCTCTGAGAATAATTCAAAAGCACAGCATATTTAAAAGTGAAAACTTACCAGAGTAGCAAAAAGATGATACAGTATAAAATAAATAGCAACTACTGGTGCCCACATATGTCCAACAGCATTCAGTGTCTGATCCATGACATCCACCCATCCTTCCTGTGTGAGAATCTGAAACATTGACATGAATGCCTGCAGGAAAGAGAATTGCCAACATATTAACAAATTATATTAATATGGTTTGATTGACACATTACTAAAGTTGATTTAACAGAGCAGAACACCTGTTTTGGTTTGCTTTTTAAACCTTAACAAATGTATTTCAACTTTTAAAGCCAAGCAAAAGGCTATTCACGAGCTAAAGGAGAAATCAATAGCTTGACCTTTGAACTGTAAGCTACAATTTGTAACATAGTCCTAGCTCCATTAGCCCATACAAAGAGCTTTTTGGTTTCCATCAAGGCTGCAAAAAGAGGAGAAATATCCAGAGCATCAGATATTGTTGTTTTGAATACTATACTGTATTGTGATTTTTTGATTATGCTTTTTCTTCCATGTTACCTCTCTATAAATATACCTATAACAAAGTGTTATAATTAACTGTGACCACGCTTTTATGTAATCTTAATAGCAGAAACATTTTAGGCACCCCACGGTTGAGATGAAACAACAGAAGGTAAGGTCTCAATACTTGCACTTGATTCAGCCAGTTAGGCTCTTCCTCTACATTTTGTAAACAGCATTCTTTGTGGAACTGTTTCTGTAACACTTTCAAATCCCTTCCGACCAGACATACATGTCAGAGGAAACAACGGAAATGTTTTAAACTTTATTTGGTGATAGGAATATATGAAAGTAGGTAAGTCTAAAAACCAGCTGTCTTAGACCTTTGGAACCCTAAATGGAGCCTACAGCACCAACCAGAATCAAACTCAATGTGAGCAATGAGTAACTCTGACATGTACGTCCTACACAGCTATTGAGGATTGCAGGCTGCCTAGGAAACAGAAGCTGGACTATAATATCAAAATGAAGTGTGGATCTTGATAGTCTTAAAGGTCTCAGTGAGGCCAAACTACTGCACAAGTTTTTTGTTTTTGCCTGACATCAAAAGTGCTCCCTTTCCAGATAGAATCAAAGCTGGTATCTTACTGAAATTTATGCATAACACAAAAGTGTTAGGAACTGAAGACATTAACAATGCATCTTACAGCTAACAGGATTCCTATAATTCAAGATGTTAACACAGTTATAAAGATAGATTAGATTTGTGCTCAGTGTGTCTGACACTCCCAGCAACAGCAGATTAACACATTAATGCACTGGCACAAAGAGAACAGCATTCTTCTTGCCAAACCTGTGAGAAAGCAGCACCCAGACAGCTATTCACATCAATTTACCTTAAGCCAAAATGCATGCTTGAAAAGCTGAAAACATGTAGGTATATAAAACTTACATGCTTGGGAAACAACAAAAAGAGTTCTAATTAATTTTTAAAGCTGCTGGCAAAAGTAACAGTTGGAGACTTCAGGTTTATATTCCTATTATAAACCACAGACAACTACTTTGCTTGGGCTCCTTATCAAGTTTGCAGAGTTTTTCAAACAAAACAATGACTTCTCTAAGCAGTTTCTTCCAATGCAAACACGACTCTTAAAGTTACACCCATACCCTTAAGGAAACCACTCCTAAATATGATTTCTCACTGCAGTGAAGGCTAATTTACTCTAGAGAAAACTGCCCATGTGCATACATACAGCACTTGGTTGCGGTCTATATAAGGTCCCTATGGGTGTAACACATCACTGATATTTGGTGACAAGGAGCTGCTTCCAACTATCTGAAATAAGAAGAAGGATGTGGCATGACTCACTACATTCTGTTTCTGCATCACGAAATCAAGGGTGTATGCTTTTTGCTTAAAATTTGAAATGATGGCCTGCAAGTAGAAGGCTTGCTGGGGTGTTGTAACAGGGTTGTGTAAGGCAGGGACGGTCTAATCCAGTGCATCTTGTTACGCAGTCACTGCATAAAAGGAGTTTTGGAGTGCCCAGCTGGAGAGAAAAATTTCACAGAATCACAGAATATTCTGAGTTGGAAGGGACCCACAAGGATTATCGAGTCCAGCTCCTAAGTGAATGGCCCATGAACAGGGATTGCCTCAGAGAGGGAATGCTGGAAGCAGAAAGAAAGTTAACAACTAAGCAGTATCAGAAGGCCACTGATACTCACTGTCTGTCCATTCTTTCACTGACCATGGATAAAGATCCTAGGACTGAAGCTTTTTCTCCTCTGTCTAATTAATACATATTTTAAAGTACAAATATTGGATCATGTTGCTTCTAGATCATGTTCAGAGGAAGAGCTGTGAATTTTAACTCTGTTTGAGGGGTCCCAAACATTTAGATACTGAGGGTTTTGTAAAAAATTTGCCTGCTGACTCTCACAAAAAAAGCCCCTCACTGGAGACCAACTTGGTTTTTTATTGCTGATATGTTCTGTGGCATTCTGAAGCAGATAGAAGCATAAACACATTGCTAGGTTAAGGCCAAAGAGTTTTTGAGCTATTTTTACAGTTACTGTTCAGAATTAACTCACACTAACCAAATTTTCAGAGATGCTTAAGCCTACACGTCCAAAAAGTTCACAAAAAGTGAAGCTAAGATGTACATGGAGCAGATTAAGGCATCCAAGTAAGCAATCACACATATTGGGAGAGAAGTTAAACATCAGACTTTACATTTGGTCAAGATTTTGCTGATGTAGAAATTAAAGTCCCAACCTTTCTTTCGAACGCACAGATCCCACAGAGAACAAAGGCTATCATGAACTAGAAGCAGCAGAGAAAACTGCTTGCAACTACTTTTTTGCAGATTCTTTACAGTGGCCAAAGTTTTTGGTATATCATTTATTAGGAGAAACCAAACATGACGGTAGGAATTTGCACAGTGCCCTCTACTTTATGTTGCTTAACTATGGCCTTAACTAGCATCCTGCCAACCTGAATCCAAGACCCTCCCTTCAAATTAGTGCCCCCTTGCAGCCATGCACATGGACTCTGCAAAATGGACTGCACAAAATTACAAACGCTTATTACTGATTCATTTTCTTACAACAATTCATTTTCTCCCCATGGAAAACATGCAGAGAAGGAGGCATTTGTCATCTTTATCTAGGAGAAACCTTGTATAGCCAGCTGAGCATGGATGAAGCAAGCAGAAAATTCAGCCTCTTTTACTGCTGCCAGTGGTGCTTGAGGATGAAGAAGACATCAGCCCCATCAGAGCTCAACACTGCTTTCCAAGACTCAGGTTCCCTTCATAACAGGGAGGTGAAGCTAAACCAGGCAGTTGTCATTTCCCTGCATCTCTGGAGCCGGTGGCAGTCGCATCTGACTGGTGTGGCACTCTTTGCCAAAATATAAGGTGGGCACTGCATTAAGTAACATACCCCACTGCTGGTTTTAAAAACACCTGAGGGACTGGGTAACTGAACCAGTGCAGTATCCTTTCTTCTGAGTCACACTAAATTTCCATAGTTTACTGCTTTTTAAAAATATGTATTTTACTTCATTCTTCAAGGTGCAAAGATACCTCCAATACTGTGACCTCTCATTAATATAAGTACTAGATTAATGTGCAAAAGACATTCTTTGAACATCATAAAAATCTAATCTTCCATTTAAATCAGTTGTACATTAAGCACAGTTATATAAAATGACCTTTTAATATACTTTAAGTATTTTATTATACCATTAAAGTCCAGTATATGAAAAAACATTAAGTAAATAAGTTCACAATGAGTATGTGCTTTGCACCTAGCAATCTCCTTTGGAGGAAGTTATTTTTAGCTGAAAGATAGACTTCCCACTGTTTATTTTAAAATTAATTTGGAATGCAACTAGCTGACAGAATCAACATCTGTGAAGACAAGACTTAGAGATTTATGCAAATGGTGATTTTCTGAATTAATTTGTGTTATAGAAAAGACTGTCAATTTCTTTGAGTATTTATGCCCTATTACTTAATGAGCTGTTTTGATGATGGAAGTCAAACTACCTTTTTATTTATAGTAGAAGGTTGGCAAAGGTTTGGTAGAATATACAAGCCAAAGTGCCAGTTCTGATATCTTGTCCAACTATTACAGGGGTAGTGCCACACAAATTACTACTTAACAGTTATAATGTACTTGTCTTGTAACTGGAGCTCGTAGGGGACAAATCCCAATGGCCAAATTCATGGAAGTAGTTCTATAATCAGTGGGATTACTTCTGCAAATTAAGTTAAAGGGATTTAGGATATTGATATAACTTCCTTGCAATCTGTTCTACAACCATAAACTTATGTTTTTCTTCTAACACATCATGAATGCGCAGTAATGCACCGAGAGGAGTAGCTGTCTTGTAAAAATGTGGCAGTCATACTGAGATTTTAACTGCATCAGAGAATTAAGACTACATTGTTTAACTTTTTTAATGTATGTTGCTTACGTTGCGCTAATATTTTATATCTTGAATTTTCTTCAAGCTTAAGGCTGGCAGCAGAGATCTGGTTTTCTGAAGAATGGAGGATTTTTGCTGCTGAGATCAGTTGGGCCTGGCTTTCACCTTGTAATGAGCCATTTAAAGAAGCGCAGCATTCCCAGCTTTGTAACCTGAGATACAGATACCTGAGACTTCGAGAGATACCAGGATATGGAAGTCAGAGACACTGAAAATGTGTTTTGTTCTCAATACAGTGAATTTTCTTAGTGGCCTTCTTATACCTGTGCCTTTGAACAGTTTTCTCCTCTAATTCCTTCTTCAGGAGCCCAGCCATCCCTGTACTTTCTCATGGCTCAATATGTGCTGCCCAAGAAGACATGCAAAAATGAGAGACAGCAGATGGGTTAAAAACATTATAGCAAACATCTATATTTTTGTACTTGGTATTAGAGAGAAAGCCAGTCCATTGGGCCAAAAGAAGTAATGGCCAAAAGAAGGGTGAAATTAGTAGCCATGGCAACACTGAGCTTATGCCTATTGACTGTCATCAGGAAACCATGTGAAAACATGCAATTTAGAGGCATTAGCAAAAGGAGGAGGTCTACTTGTTCCAAAACCCATACTGTGCCTTTTTATAAAGCACTTAGAGTTTCAAAATGATTTTAGGTTTTGTCTGTTTCTGTGTAGAAAGCACTTTACTGTACAAACTCAAAATTTAGCCTCTAGTGTCACCATTTTTGTTATCATGCTTGTCATCTCTGTATTTGTAACCAAAAAAACCCCACAGCAACAATCCTGGCCATTTTAGGTTTGCTCTTCTCTGAGGGTAAGCTCCTAAAAATTTTTCTTAGCAAATTCTGGTATTGCAGACCTCATATCATCTCCTACATTATACACTATGTCTTCAGTCATGTTTTGAAAATTATTATAATTGTCTTATTGCAAACTGATGCAGTGGTCTTTATTCATGGCAGAAAATGTGAGAACTCCTCAGCCTTTTCTAGGAAGTCACACTCCTTTGGAGGGACATCACTATTCACAGAATCAATCACAAATTTTGAGTTCAAAATTGTCATTGACTTTTAGTCTCTTAAGAGATGTTTCAGTATAAAACTGCAAATAGAAGCCACATACTGTAAATTATACACTTCTGAAAAAATCATATCAAGGTGAATATGTATAAAAAATAGAAAATAAATAAAGAATAAGGCGAAACTCTTGCTTCTGGCTTTCATATGAGAAAATGTTAAAAACTTTTCAATTCAGTATTGCTGGAACACTCCTTTATTGTTGGCAACAGGTCTTCTGTTTTTCAAACACTTAAGTCAGAAAATAGAAAGCAAGTAAACATATTACTGTTTGTAAAAAAATGTATAATTTGCTGGAGAGAATATTTTCTCAGTCTTCAAACATATATTTAGGATATTCATATATCTGTTAAAATTCAGTATGCTAGAAGCTCTTATTGAAGTTTAAATGGCAGCAGATTAAAATGCTTAAAATAATCCAAAACTTTATTAATGTGTTGATATATATTGGAAATTTTTCATTGCAAGTGGATCTTTACTCTCATATCAGTTTATCTAGTTAAAATCTGCAGGTGATTGTGAATCTGTCTTATTTTAATCATACTACAACAACTCTTCAAGGACTTCTATTTTCATTTTGCATAAATAATAAAATAATTCTAAAACAAAATTTCTTGGTGATTTGAATCCTGAAGTTGGACATTTTTTTCAGAAGTTACACATGGGAGTCGCTCATGTGTTAGAAAAGCTTAAGGAGGTTTATTTTCTGGGTTTTTTTTCCCCTTTCTTCTGCATTTAAACAATTAATTATACTGAATTCTACTGAATGCTTTTCTAAGCACATTTTCCAAAATAGGAAGCATGGTGTTACATTATTCCCTGTGGGTAGGCATTTTTTGTCTCACATTTGATGGCCAGCTTCCCATACATCAAGTTCAGGTTGATAATTACAAATTGCTGCTTAGCCATTTTGTTTGCTAAATGCATGACCCTTGAGGCTGCCTTATTCATTGTTATTTAATTGTTCCAAACAATGCACTTTTACTAAAATAGATACATTGGATAACCAAGCTGGAATGACAGAAACAAATAAATTGTCACTGGAATCAATCCATGTACACTCAGCCTAATCCACTATTAAAGAAATGGCAGTATTTTCATTCAGAACAGTGTGCTTCAATAAATACATTAGCTCCAATTTCCACTGATTTTCAGTGTTCTGTTCTGAATTAACGTAATGCTCATAAATATCCATTATTTATACCCAAAAAGCAAACACTTATTTTGTCAATGTAGACAGATTTTATAACCCTGTGTAAAACAAGCGTTCCTGTACAAATCAAGAACAACATGAAGATATAAATCATGTGTAGACACATTTTATATAAATTTTGTGGCTAATATTCACACTTGTGGGCATGAATCTTCTTTCTGTAACATACTAGAGTAGTGTTAAGCCATATGCTGGCGTGTCATCATCACAGTGCATAGGTAAAATTTCTCTATATTCCCTTGACAGCAGAAATAGAACACCTCTCTCAAAGACAGACAGACTTCACTACAGAAGGACTACAGAAAGACTGTTATATCCAAAAAATACAATTCTTTTATCTATACATATGGGGATAAACTGCTTCATGGTTCTCAGAAGGAAAGGAAGACCATTAACATAGTAACAAATATAGAATCTGACTTTGTTTTGGCTGGAGTAGAGTTAATTTTTTTCCTAGTAGCTGGTACAGTGCTGTATTTGGGGTTAGAATGAGAATAATGTTGATAACACTCCAATGTTTTAGTTACTGATGAGCAGTGCTTGCTCAGAGTCAAGGCCTTTTCTACCTCTCACCTCACCCCACCAGTAAGCAGGCTGTGGCTGCATGAGGTGTTGGGAGCAGACACAGACACAACAGCTGGCCCCAAGTGACCACAGAGATACCCCATACTATATGGTATCATGGTCAGCTTATAAACCACAGGGAAAGCTGGCTGGTGGCTGCAGATCGGAAACTGGCTGGGCATTGGTCCACGGATAATGAGTGATGGCAATGTGCACCACTTATTTTGTATATTCTAATTTTTTTATCATTATTGTTTTCCTTTCTGTTTCTGTCTTACTAAAATTTCTTTATCTTAGCCCATGAATTTTGCTTTTTCTTTTTCCCAATTCTCTCCCTCATCCCACTGCAGGAAGAGGATTGAACAAGTGGCTGTATGATGTTTAGCTCCAGGCCAGGCTAAACCACAACAGAATCACAGAATCATTCAGGATAGAAAGAACCTTTGAAATCATTGAGTCCTATCACTAACCCAACACTGTCAAGTTCATCATCAATGGTAAGAAAATATTAATGATAAGAAAATAGTAACAAGTAATGAGCAATCATTTTGAGTAATTAATGGAAAATTAATGTAAAACCAGTAATGCTTTTTATACTTGCCCGTGGAAAGGTTGTAAATCTGTCCAGTTCTTCCACAAAGCAAAACATCTGTAAACTGATAGCTGACATTACAATTAACAGGCTGGCAGTAAATACTACCAAACTTCCAAGTTTTTTTCCTGGTCCAAATATCTTGTACACAAAATCCTCCAAAGCAGGAGAAATCTTTATAAGGCGAACTACTCTAAGAACCTGCACAGAAAAAGAAAATACAACTGTATCAATGATTTGATTATAAAACTTTTCAAAATATCAGACAGTCATGGTCAAGAAGGGACTTGCCGCCTTGTAGTCCAATAAATATTAGGTTGACACCGCTTGTAACAGATTACAAGTTGTGTTAGGTTAAAAATATTAGACACAGAATATAAGCAGCATCTAGATATATAGGCATGGGATGACAGCAGAAGTCTTGATAGTACAGGCATGGGAGGACTGAAGGACCCTAAGTAAACAACTCACAGACCATGAAGAGAAATGCAATTGGGCAAAGCTGGTTTTGAGGTAACAATGGGAACAAAGACAGGCAAAACATACGACAGAGAGTAAATTTGAATGTAATGTGGAATTAAGAGACCAGTGGAGGTTTATAGTGTGTTACCAAACATAAGAATGGTTCCAGGCAGGGGTCAAAGCACACCAATCTAGATTTAGCAAATGAGAATCTACTGCAGTGCTAGGTATATTGCTCTGGTTTGATCAGCATCACTTCTAAAAATTCATACTTATTCTAGGTGGACAGGCTCCTGAACAGTCTTTGAAGAAATCTTTGCTTTGAGCAGCTGGCTAGATGAGATGTCTTTGAAAGGCCCAAACTAAATACAATTCTATGATGTTTGTTGTACCAGGTTACATATTCACATAAAGAACTGCCAAATCTTCTTTCCATTTCAGTGACCGAAGGCAAAATTCTTTGGTGTTGTGTACCGTATAACCTAGCAAATTTGGTAATGGACATACTTTGCTATTTCATATTATATATAAGATGGGAAATTTTGGGTTGCATTTCTCAGTATCAGAGGAAACAGCAATGTGTGCCACTGACATTTGACACCTCACAGTATTAGTATCGGTAGCAAAACTTTGATCTCGTGTGGAACTCCTGGCCCATTTACTGCTGAATCTACTTTAAAGAGCTGCTGACAGCTCTTATTCTCCTATTTCTGCTATTGATGGTGGCACAGTGACACGAATATCAGTATCAACAAGAGGCAGTGGCAACAACAGTTGTTGCTGAAGACAACAGACAGTAGCATATGGGGCAACTGAGATTCTGCATTTCTTCGGGAGAAAAAGACTCTCTAGTCTAAGGTATCACCTGGATTTCCACAAGAATCATATTGCAACTGAAAGGTAGGAATTACAGTGCGATTACTGGGTGACCTATGTGCAAGTCAAATACAATTACTATGCTGCTTTTGGAGAGAAAATTAGTATAGACAGTTGTTCGTAGAATGAGTTCAATGCACTCTGTATCTTGCTAATAATGTGCACCTTTGGGTTTTGTGTGAAATGTATCTCCCTACCCATTTGTAAGGTATGCAGAATATGCTCATCATTTAGACTTTACTGTGAAAGCGGAGCAAGAGAGAAAGTCAACTCAAGAAAGCAACTTATTCCGAGCATACCAGACCCTTGTGTGAGACAGGATGAGCCGCCACTGCCTTCAGTAGTAAGCAAGGGTTCCAGATGAGAGGTTAGACTAGACTTTCACAACATTAGCACAAGGTGAGATAAAGCCCTTTCTTTCATATAGATGCTGTGGTCACATTACATGAAAGTGGATACCAAGGCAGACAGTGAGATGAGGGTGATTTCCAAGTACTACGAACATGTAAATATGGTGCCTTCTTACTTACAAGATTTACTCATGGTGTAAATGTCAGCTCTGTTCCCATCAACTAGTTTCAGTATAGACCCCAGTGAGGTGAAGATTTCATGCTAGTTGGTATTCTGTTTTAGATAAATGCAATTATCTGCCTTAGTTTTTTTCCCCTTTCTTTGGGGAACCTTACTGGCCTTTAAGCAACACAGTAATCTTATTGATACTATTTTGTTTATTCATTTATTTTCATTAGGTGACAAACTGAATTTAACAAAAGTACACCCTAATGAACGTTTATGCATTTTGTGTAATTGGATTGCAAATTGTATTAAATTTGGGAGATGTGGAAGGATTAAATATAAAGATATGTTAAAGAACAAATCAAAATGAATAATATAAAAGAGGAACCACAGCTTTATTGCAAAGAATGGTCGCATCTCCTACAAGGAATGATAGTTATTCAGAAAATGACTCAGCCATATTTTCCCCAAGCACAAATACAGTACCATCTCTTCAGTCCAGTATAGGTCAAATTTTGTTTAATTCTCTCCCTTTTGTGCTGGTTCATTACAGATCTCTGCAATAATATGCAAAATTTGTCATTTCTCCACTAGTTTTGTGTCCTATAGATTATCACCATGTAACAGTTCTTTGCTGTAGTCTTGCACAGAGAGCTTTCCAAAGTGTTTTGAAAGAATGCACAGTGAACGCAAGAAAGATAGGTGGGAGGGTGGACAGTAGCCAACATAGTAAAGAGTGAATGATGTGTTGGCAAAAGGTAATGGTAAAGACCAATGAATAATGGAAACTGAAATATATGCAAGGAAGACTAGACAAACCAAACAATAAATCTGCTTGCTATCCTGGAATGTGTCAAGTAAGAGTTCTGTTACCAGTAATCTGTTTTATTCACTGACAAGGAACACATTTAACCTGTCATCATGAATACCTAAATTCCTGGAAATCGGCCTAACATCAAGATGTATTCATGTGAAAAAGATTTTTTGACCTTGGTTGATTTGACAATGTGTTATCTAGCTTGCCCAGAACTTAATTGCAGAGGAATACAGTGTGTACCTCCCTTACAAGTTGACATCAAAGGTATTCAACCTTCCTATCCTTTGCCTCTTAGGGTATTTGGATTGCAAAATACAAGCCAAATCTTTCAGTGTAGCAAGTGTTTCTGCTTGTAAAATATGTGTCTTTCATATATTCTGGAATAAAAAATCACATCTTAGAATCTTCTGTCATAAAAGCACTTTGTAATTAAGAAAACACCACCACCTCAGCTCCACAAAACTAATTAAATCCAATAAAAAGAAAACACTTACTATTATCAACATCTGGCTACATTTTAATTATACTTTCAATCCTGTGAGTTAGTAATGATGTTTCCTATTTAGTCCAAAATGTTCATAATTTATACTTAAAATTCTTAGAAAGAAACAACCAGTCATAAGTGGACGTTTCCCTAATAAATATGGACCAACTATTAACCAAATTGCTAACTTCTGTAACTGAGATCTCCCAGCTATGTTCCCTGTGTGCTTTTGACACAGCAGTGCCATGGTATACTCCTGACAGATCATCCTTTCTTGCAGGTTAGATGCACCATGCTTCACTGAGGAACAGTATTTTACATATTTTGACAGAAAAATCAATGCTATAATGATCTGAAAGTCTTCGAATAATATCTTGTAAAAGCAAAATAATTTTTTTCATCCTGAAAGCTTTCTTGAGCAGGTTTGTAGAACCATTTAGAAAAAATACAGGATGACATTTCCAGAAATCTGAAAAGACCATTATACTTCAACCCACACTTGGGGAGTACTCACAATACATGTCACTATAACTAATCATATTGATTGACAGGACTCTGTTGAACTATTTATTACTTTCCTTTATTGATTATTACTTATTCACCATGCCAATCCATTGCTAAATAATGATATGGATACTTTATTATATACGTATTTAAAATTCCCTTACTTTAGCACTATAGACTATAACACATTGTAATGAATCCCAGTGCTTTCTCCCAAAACTGGAGCAACCCTAAGCACTTTAAGGAGGATGAATGGGGAATTAGTTGGGCTGACTGACAGGCAGAATCAGAAGTCTGAATTAATCAGTCTTTTTTTTTTTCTCTCTTTCCCACCCTTCCCTAAAGTTAAAATGTAGGAATAGCCACAAGAAACACACTTCCCCTCTAGATAAGGAATGGCTGGGGAGCTTAAAACCCAGGTCTAAGAAGATTCTGGAGAAATGACCTCAGAAGACCCACAGCAACTGGAGCAGAGCCTCTTAGTTAGGCATGTGACTGCCACAGAGATGAAGATTTGGAGGAGCAACAGCAAGTGCACTGAGACCTCTGGGAGAGCAGCCAGGAAAACAGTGATGGACACTACAGGAAGGCAATGTTGTAAACAGCTGTATGCAGGGTCAAGGCTCAGTGAAGGACAGTGAAGAAACTAATCCAAAACTTACTGAACACTGCAGCTCAGATAAGAAATGGGACTTACTGAAAACAGAAAGGATTTCTCAGTGAAGTTAGAAAGAATGCTATTTCTGTAAGTCCACCCAATAGCTAAGAACAGAGAGATTTGTTATCTTAAAATTATTCTCAAAATGAGTCAATACTGTGAGAAAACTGAAATTTGTGTGAAATGTTAATGGGTTAATGTTTTCAATTGGTATACAGGGTAAAAAGTGAAAGTAGCTCATCATACCTGAAAATATGTAAATTGAGAGTGATAGAGGTCTGGATAAATATGGAGAGTAGTTCCAATTACAAGCAGCAACTCGAACTTGTGAAGAGATGAGCTGATGTATCCTGTGAAACCCAGACACCAGATCTTCAGGAGAGCTTCTAAATCAAACAGAACTGTGAAAGCAACCTAGACAAATATATAAGACAAGAAAGATGCATTCAAAATGCTGAGTTAAATTAGAAGTTTTTATGTCATGATGACTACAGACACTTTGTAGGCCAAAAATAAAGATCTTCATAATATTTAAAAAACCCCAACCATATTCTAAATAAAATAAACAACAGTAGATTTCACTTTATGAAAATTTCCAAAGACTCAATGCAGACAGGGAGATCTCACAATTTGGAAAGCATGAAATAATAAATCAATTGAGCTGATCTTTATGTACACATATAAACAGGAAAACATGAAGAGATTTATTTTTTCAAAATACAAAGCAATATACACAAGCCGTCTGAAGAATTTGAAGAGACCTAAGGAACAAACCAAAGTTTAAGGCCTCTAGTTTGAAAATTGCTATTTCAATTTCCAAAAAGATCCATAGAAATATGATAACCAAAACAGGTAGCAAAGAAGTAATGGGACTTAAACACGTAAAACAAATTTAAAAAAGAGATGAAATTCAAATTCAGTTCAGAATTGGTTAATTTTCACAAAGGTGTTAAAGAAGTTGTGCCTAGTAGGAAGTTACAAGGAAAGAAATTTACTTGTAGGGATTGAATGACTTTGGGATTCTTCCAGAGGACTTGAAATATTTGCACAGTAAAATGCATAATGTTCAACTTGGACAAAAGGAGACAATTTTGAAAAGGTTTACATTTTTGAGATTTATTTCCTTTTACTTATCTCACTACCAAAAATACATCTGCCTAGACACACTTCTTCCTCACATACCGTCTTATTGTACCACTGTATGTACTCTTAGATGCTCTATCCCTCACTTTCCAACAGTCAGGGAACCCAACGGAAAAGATGCTTTTCCTTGACTCAGCAATGTTAATTTCTGACCCTTTACACATGTTGGGGCTTAAAAGAGACACTAAAATAACATTAGGTCACATCTAAATACAACTAATACTTTCAAAGTACAGTACAAACATTAAGAAAAAACAGATCAAATCTCCTTTGAGAAAAAGCAGTCTTTTCTAGTCTTTTAAGATTGGACAGACTAATGTGAATCATAGATGACAGACTGTGAATCATAGCACTCACAGCACTCCAAAAATCTCTTCATATTAGGAAGGAAAGACTAATAGAAATATTTGTGTGCTTTCAGTCATGGGGACAATGCAGGGACACTTTCAGGCTCTTATTCTCGAATGGATCTGGCCAGTTTTTCAGTCCGCACTCTGGGATCTCAAAGAGCTCTAGAAGAACAAGGAGCCAAGTTTGAAGAGACTACTTCTTCACATGAAAATGTCTATCTAAGGCACAAGGTAAATATTTTATTAAAAAGTCTTAGAAGTAAAGCACACTTTTAATGACAACACATCTGAGTTCTGAAAGAGAAGAGGGTCAAGGTAAGAAAAATGGAAGAGTGGTTAGAAAGCAGCTGGGATTCAGCTCAGAGCAGGTGGAATAATAGTGCCATTTAAACACACACATATACACTTCAGAGCACATAGGCTTCCTATAAGAACAAGACTAAAAAATACGATGTTAAGTGTATTTTAATTTATTCTAAAAATGTGTGGGCAGGATCATTTGCATTTCACATGCTTGTCAAATGAATTCAAACCACTGGCACTTAAAAATGTATCAAATGGTTTGCATAACATCTGATTACATTTATACACCTGTCTTCCTGCTGACAGAGATTGTATTTTTTCCTTCCTTGTAATTAATTACAGGAGAAGATTCAGAATATCTGACTAGAACTTTTTGTTAGATGTGAAATGTAATACAACTTTATAGTTTTGTGGGGTTTTTTTAAAGCTGAAATCATTCCTTTCATTGCTGTAGAGAAATGGGAAAGGCAAACTTAAATAAGAAGCCAGAGAAGACCCACACAGAAAAAGCAGCTGTAACACACGAGCAGCCACTGAGCAGCCACTCTCCATCAGGTTGCTAATTTTGCAAAGAAGAGCTAACAGGAATGGGCTGTTTCTCTGAGGGCTACCTCCCATTTGATCAGCTTCCACCTGGAAGCTTTATGCCCCCTTCAGCAAGATTACTTTTTGCCAGTAGCCATTTAACTGTGGGTTTGTTTTTTTTTTTTTTCAGAGGCAGAGTTTAGCATCAGTGAAAACCCAACAGTGAGAACCCAAGAAAACTCAGTTTGTTTTCTTTGTAACAGTGGTTCATTTGAAAGGTTATCAAGCTGTTGGGAGAGACAAGAATTCTTCCCAGCAGGATCAGTGGGATTAGGGCACAGACCTCTCACACTTCTCTCTCTATGAGATTTGGCACAGCACTCAATCCTTCCTTTTTCCAGGACAGGGCAAAGGCAACAGTGCGAGGGGACAGGCTACAGAAGGAATCTAGGAGGAACTATATAGGAGCATCTGACTTTGAACTTCAGTGTTCAGACACTTTAAAGCAGTATCTTACACATCTCAAATAAGACTATAAGTCTGTAACATCTTTCAATGTGGGAGATGCATGTAAAACCAAACATCCATCTCTATTCTGTCTAGCTATTAAGCAGTTAAAGATCCTCATTAAAAATTACCAAAATGAGTTTGAAGCCCTACTCTTTCCAGGTTCTCTGATACAGCACTGGGGTTTCGAGTAATCCTGTTAAAATTCTGGTTTTGCTTAATCTGCAGGGCTGACGTATAAAAGTTGAAATGTCAGGATGCCTGCCAGGACATCTTATTTACTACTGGGTATACAAACTTATGCAAAGAATGGATCTGAGTTTAGAATTAATTTTATCTTCTAGTCTAGCTTTTGCCTTTTTGAGTCTGTCTTCTCTTTCCAACAATGAAAACAAGTTTCTTTTCTCAGTATTGGGCATCTCAACACCTTCACTTAGATTTGTCTACTGAGCTCCAGCAGATGTATTTCCACAGTTCCAGGCCACTAAAATGTCTGATCCAGAGAATGGACCAAGTGAACTACTTTCTTAGACATATCTGCTCCTAAAGCTAGCAGCTCCCAAGACGACTTCTAGAAAACGTAACAGAAAGCCAGATATGCTTGCTGTAATCTATCTGGCCATTTCCTTTAGCAAGGGGAAATCCTCACTGCTGTTGGCTGCTCAAGTCAGCCAGCTCCCACTGAAGGGAGAGCTTTCTGCAGCCTAGTCTAATGGAAAAGACAGATCAACAGCAGTGCATCCTGCTCCAGCCAGTCTTCTTCACCAAGGAAACAAAATAGTCACTGTGGAACAATCTGCATTGTTTCAGTATTCAGCCTCTTCAAGGCTCTTAAAAACATTTTCTTTGTTTACCCTGTACTGGAAAGAACAAGTTTCACAATAACTAAGTAGGAAATGACACCAGTTTATCAATTCCTCTTCTCTCCCAGGATTTTTTTACTCTTCTGCTCTTATATTTTCCTTTGTATCTCCTTCTATAAGATACTAGGGTTTTGTTCTTGTTTGATTTTTATAGTGCCTCTAGTAAAAGCTGAACAGGCTTAAAAAAAAAAAAAAGGAAAGAAAACCAACAAATAGACATTAAAAAAAAAGCTTTACAAATAAAAACCCACATCTTTCTCTATCCCAGAATACTTTACCTTATATAATCAGAGATGTAAAATGCAGAATGCAAGAAAATGAGTTTCCTGACAACCTCTCCACTAATAAATCAATTATCTAAGCTATACAGAAACAGAAAAATGTATTGTTAAAGAAAACTGGACATAATTTATAGGACAGAATTATAATACACTAGTCTTCATGATATACTCACCTTGAATAAACTCTGGCAATTATTTCTGTTGGAAAAAAATCTCTCAAACCCTTTACTTGAAATAGATGTTGAAGAGATTGTTTCTAGCACTGATTATTAAAAGCATAATTATACTATATATTCAGAGCCAAAATAGAAATAGGACATGCAGTGATCCCTATTTTGAATAAAAATAGAATTAATGTTATTTTGTTAAGAATCCAGGCTCCACTTGTTGTATGCTAGGCATAAAGCAAAAATGCCTACTGTGAATTCATGGTCTCAGGCTTTAACGCTGACTTAATTATTTGTTTCCGGCCAAGGACATTGTACTGGATTTGCCTGCGACAGAGTTAACTTTCCCCAATGTACTTTGTATGGTGCTATTTTGGATTTGTGCTGGAAACAGTGTTGGTAAACAGGAATGTTTTAGTTGTTGCTGAGCAGCACTTGAACAGAGTCAAGAGTTTTTCTACTTCTCTCCCCATCCCACCAGCAAACAGGCTTGGAGTGCACAAGGAGCTGGGAGGGAACACAGACAGGACAGCTGACCCCAACTGACCACAGGGATATCCCATAACATATGGGGTCATGCTCAGCATATAAAGCTGGAGAGAGCAGAAAGAAGAGGGAGATGTTTAAAGTGATGGTCTTTGTCTTCCCAAGGCACTGTTGTGGGTCACGGAGCCCGGCTTTCCTGGGGATGGCTGAACACCTGCCTGCCCATAGGAAGTGGTGCAGGAATCCTCTGCTTTGTTTTGCTTTGCTTGTGTGCGTGCCTTTTGCTTTACCTATTAAAGTGTCATTATCTCTACCCATGACTTGTCTCACTTTTACCCAGATGATTCCTTCCCCATCCCATTGTGGGACAAGAGGTTGCGTGGGGCTGAGCTGCTGGTTGGGATTAAACCACGACGGAGAGTAGAATGACTTTCACTGTCCTCGATACCACCCTCATCTGTAGAGGTGTCATAAGAGAACCCAGCATATGCTGGTTTTATTCTGATGTCTTATTTTCAGGAGAATCTTTTTCATGTTCATGTTGTTTTTTAATGCTGTATTGGGTCTGGCTGAGATTGTGTTCATTTCCCCATAGTAGCCCTCACAGTGCTGTGCTTTGCACTGGTAGCTAGAATGGTGTTGATAACACATTGGTGTTTTGGCTACTGCTAAGCACAGCATCAGCACTGTAACATTCCTTCCTTAATCAAGGGCAAGATCCTGGGAGGGGACACAGATAGGCCAGCTGACCCAAACTGACCAAAGGGATATTCCAGACCATGTGACGTCAGCTCAGATATAAAAGCTAAGGCAAGAACAGGAAGGGGGACATTCACTGTCTCCAATGGTTGCCTATCATTATGTATGCTGCAGCCCTGCTTCTTGGAAGTGGCAGACCATCACTGCTGATGGGAAGTAGAGAATCAACCGTGTTTCTTTCGCTTTGCTTCTGTGCACACAAGCTTTTTCTTTGCTTTTGCTTTAATAAACTGCCTTATTCCAACCCACGGGTTGTTTCCATCTTACTCTCTCCCCTGTCCATCTGGGAAGGGGAGTGATAGAGTGGCTGGGTAGGCATCTGGCATCCAGCCAAAGTCAACCCATTTAAAACTGGATACAGAATAAGCACAACACATTTCACAATTACTCTTGTAATTGTTGGCCAGGCCAACATTGACTCAATATTCACACAAACTACACCTATTCCCAGCAGCATGAGAGACAACAGAGTAGGATGCAGCAGTGCATCTCTACAATATGCACATTTTTTAAGGTTTGGACTCTGGTGCTGTCTTTTAACTTTTTTCTTGCTTTCATTTTCATTTTCACTAGCTCCCATAACTGGCAAACTCTCAAATTCATACAATTTTAAGAGATCAGATAAAAATTCTAAAACTTAGATAAAAAATGTGTATCGATTCAACCTTAAAAAATGGAGATTCATAAAGCATTGGACTGTTATGAACTAAAGGGTTTAAAGTTGGGCATAAAACCACAGAGTATTGCCAACAAGGCAATATCAACAAAAGAGAAACTAAAAGGAACATTCTGCTATTGTGCACTCTAGCCTAAGAATGTCTCCTCTGGCTCCAAAAATGGAGCATGGAACTCCATTTGGCCCTGAAGCCAGGGAAACTGCAATAACCATAGAGCTAAACATGTACCACATCCAGGTAACTGTGATCAACACCTTGAGAGAACTGATCTTGGTGCACTGGTGAAATAGCTGTTCTTTTTACTGGCTTTTTACTCAGATAAAGTCACAATTCACAATGCCCATGGAAATAAATGTTTTTAATAAAGAATCATGCAATAATGATTTCACTCAATTCAGAAAAAACAAGTATCTATTTGAAGCTATGCCAGTGCATTAGAACCAAAGATTTCAATTATTTTTTTAAACTGAATTGAATAGTACTAAAAAGACATGTATGCAAGGTTCTAGGATCTCTAGTGCATGTTCTACAGTAAAATCCTTGACCAGCTAATGACTCAAGCAGGCTCCCTGTCAGAATGTCACTTGTACCTCCACTTCACTGGTTCAGGAGCATAGACTCCTCTTTCAACAAATTCATGACTGGATAAATGTGTTTTTTTGCAGTATGCTCTCCAGATTGCTGAAGCCAGACTATTTGTAACACTATTTTGGCTATGCTTACAGACCTTCTGGAAGCTAAGTATGAAAAAATTATTTAGGAAGAAGTCCTATATTATATTTTCTAAAGGAAGTGTTTTCTCATCTTTTTAAAGTCTACTGAATGTTATGCTCCTGCTAGAGAAAGATAGCAACTTAGCAGTCATGCATTGCCTGCAGATGTTATTCTTAAGCCGCAGCTCATTACCACTGACATTTTGTTTGAGGAAATTACCTTTCAAAAGGTTGTAAGACAGAGCTGTCAGCTATTGTCAGGCAGAGGAAGTTGAACAAGTTAGCAAAGTATTCTCAAAATGCTTAAGGGAATAAAAAATTACATACTAAAATGTTCTTGACATTCACATTTTTTACTTTAGCTTATCTTGAAAATTATCCAGATAGTCATTTCAGCATACTCACCTCAGCTAGGTAAAATTCATCATATTGTCTCTTGAAATTTTCTCCTTTGTAGTAGTTACTAGCAGCAACAATCACATCAACAGCAACCATGCTTAGTATGAACATATGAAACACAGATGACCTCATCATTTTCTGTAATAAAAAAAATAAATTTTATCATCAAAATTAACAAAACCACATGCATTTTAATGTTCTTTTACATCGTCAAAACATAATCAGCTATAATAACACATTATTCTAAATCTTCTTTATATGATTGTAATTTATTTCTCTTTAAAATACTTTTAATATATTCCTTCAACTGGTTTACATACGCAAGTTTGGGTGTGTTTTTTTGATTGTTTGTTTTTTACTTTTCAGTTTTTATTTGCCAGTTGACTTCTTACTGAAGGTTTATAACTTAGTATGATATCCATTACTTGATATACTTTATCCATTACTTGATATACTTATCCATTACCTGATATACTTTAAAGCATAAACTGTACTTCTATCTACTCAGTTGGCCCTGGTTAATACTCCTTCATTAGGACTTATTCATAGAAATCTTGTTCAGGAAAAAGTAACGTCAATTCTACCTTGTGCACTGCTTTTCCTCAAGAAACACACTTAATAAGGAATTCATCTGATGTCAAACTATTGCCCAAAGTAGTAAAACACATCCACATATAGTAGGTATACACATCCAGGCCTATGAGATATGAAGTACTCACAGGTAATTCACTTATCTATGCACTTTATGCTTTATGTCACTGCTGCTGCAACCCCACAGGAGGAAAGAGAAATGGAGGCATGGGGCACTGGCCAAGAGTTTATACCCATGAGTTGCCAAAACAGTAGTGATAAGATACATAAGATGTACACAGAAGTTCAAAGAAGTAACTTCTAAGCGCCCACCACAAAGATTGTGGACTTATGATATACCAAAAAAACTAACCACTACCCTCACTGGGTCAGCCACAGCTGTTCCAGTAGAAGCTAAAGTCAAAGAAAGAAAACATACTGTTATTTCACATTAAACCATCTTTGAATGAATAGTCACTAATATTGATATTTTTTACAATCTTCTACAAGTAATACAGTTCAGGTCTTCAATGCTTATTTGCAAATGCTACATAAGTAAGTTATGTGCCATTATGGTTCCTTGCGTTTGTATGCAAATTTAAGCTGTGCTTAAATGGAAAAGGCCATATTTATTTGTTCCTGCATTTATATCTAAAAGTGCCTGACCGAATTTCAGGAAAAAAACCCCACAAAATATAGAAGAATTCTGCCTCTTCTCAACTTCTTAAAGACTCTGTATGTCTCTACTGGTTTACTTTCAAATGATCACATAGTTAATTAGTTTGAAAGGGATCTCCTGAGATAATCTATGCTGCTGCCTGCTTAAGCAGCATCAGCTAGACCAAGTATTCCAGAATCGTGTCCAGTCAGAGTCTGAGTATCTTGACAGAAGGCTCCACACCTGTCTGTTCAACCTATTCCACTCTTTGACCACTTTCACAGTAAAAGAGTCTTTTCTTCTGTTTGGATGTTAAAAATTAGACAACTGTTCCTGCGGAAGACAAATAAGATCACAGAATCTCTGAGATTAGAATCTCAAAGGGATTCTTGAGATGTTCTAGTCCAATCCCTTTGCTCAAAGAAGCATCACCTAGAGAAGGATGCTCAGGACCACATCCATTCAGGTTTTGACTATCTTGAATGATGTAAACTCTAACACCTGTCCAGGCATGCTTGTCCTGTATTTTTACAGTGAAAAAGTTTTTTCTCATGTTTAATTATTATTTATTGGTGTTTCAGTTTGTGCCCATTGCTTCTTATCCTACCACCGGACACTACTGAGAAAAGCCTGGCTCTGTGTTCTTTACTTCCTCACATCAAGTATTTTTCCATACTGTCAAGATCTACTCCTGAGTTTACTGTCTCCAGGCTAAACAGTTGCAGCTCTCTCAGTATTTCCTTATGAAAGATGCACCAGTCCCTTTATCATCTTTGTGGCCCTCTATTAGACTCTCTAAAGAATTCATGCCTCTTGAATTCCGCTGGAGTTTTAAGGTAGCTTGCTTAAATTGAAGCTGAATGGAGATAAGCACATAATTGCAAACATTTTGCTGATAGGCTTGCCTCTTCTCTCCTAATATCTGGACTTCTTCTGTGAATTACAGGTTGCATTGCAGACAAAAGACAGCTCAAACACTTCTCATGAAAGCTGGCTCCCTTTTGACCCAAGTGACATAAAATGGTTGTATATTCCAGTCTAGAAAGGGAGGCTCAGAAGATAAAGCCTTACATTTTGGGTTAATAACAATGTCTAAAGACAGGTAAGTCACAAAAACAGTGGCTAAATAAGTTCTTGCTTTTATGTTTAATCCACAAGGCAAGCTATAAGAATATAATAATTAAAGACAGGGCTACTGGCATCCAGCATACATTTTTTTCAGTGGTGTGATTCAAAACAGGTAGCATCCCATCTGTTACATTTTCATTTCACATGAATTCTAACTAGATAGTCTCTCTGCATATTTTACACTGCATTTTTAAAAGTGTTAGAATTTTCTTCATAATGACAAAGTATTCTGTTTCAATTGTGAAAGGACTTGCTAAAAGAAACTAGTAAGTTAGGCTGCAAAATGCACTTATCTCTCCTTTCACAAAAAACAACAAGGAAGCAAAACGGCACTATAGGAAGAATAAAAATGCATAAACTGTCTAGACTGTACCTTTGGACACTGTCATGATTTAGGAATGATACTCCCCAATTTAGTGTTCTGATTAAAAGTCTTCAAACCCTGCTGCTGCTCACTTGCTCCCCCTATCACCTTGTGCAGCTTGAGGTAATTTCTTCTCATCCTGTCACTTGTCACTCGTGAGAAGAGACCAACCCCCACCTCACTGCAACTTCCTTTCCAGGTAGTTTTAGGGAGCCTCCTTTTCTCCAGGCTAAACAGCCCCAACTCCCTCCACCGCTCCTCAAAAATCTTGTGCTCTGGCCCCTTCACCAGCTTCCTTGCCTTTCTCTGGAGTCACTGCAGCACCTTTTACTTTTCACTAAAATTCAATAAGGCTTCTTGTCCAGGTCGCCTTCCCACTTGAACTAAAACGAGACTATTTAGCTAACAGAGAGTATTACTTTGGATAACATGATTCAACATTAAGATAATACAGAAGGCAGCTCAGACAGGACACAAGCTAGGCACAGACTACGCAAAGGCAGCTGGATGAGGCATCAAATGAGAAAGCAACTGTAGTGAGGAACGTGAAAAGCACCAAGCTGCTGGCAGAAAGACAGAGAGCACAAAGGGTCAGCAAGGTGGAGATATCCAAGCAAATACCTCCACCACACACACAGCAAAAACACTCTGCTGAGGAGATCCAAACCAGAAATTCACTACTTTTAGATCCCAGGACTGGCCAGTTCATGGGGGCCAGATTGGTGTCTTAATTTTTTCTACAGCATGTCAGAATTTAGCTGCTCACTTGTCATGAATGCTGTGCATGATACGCAGTTTTCCCACTGGCCTCTCAGACAGACTGCAATATTCTTAGGAGATCAATCACACCTATTGTGGTTCAGCTTTCCTTCTACTTTAATCTGCCTTAGTTTGCTCTTTCTATATCACAGAATGGTTCAGACCCATCTCTGCTGCAATGTTTGACCATGAGAATTCACCACCTCTTTACGTATTTTCGTATTTGCAATGAGGTCTAAGTGAAAGCTGAATTTAGCCCACAGCATTTGCCCACGCCTTAAAAATCATTTTGGATCACTGCATCAGCAGTGTGTCATTTGGATTAAAGCCCTTTTCAGAGCACACAGGGGTGGAAAATTCTCCATGCAAACTTGAAAGAAGAGACATAATGCCAATTTTTGTTCTTGTTTAATTTACTGACCTTTTTTTCAGGCCCTGGATGTCTGTTTCTTAAACTGTGTAGGAATGAGATGAAAGAAATGTTCTGATGTTGCTGTCAGACAGTTGCATGGTGGGAAAATTGTATCAAATATTAAATTGGACTTAAGATTACCTGTGTTGAAGAAGTCTCAAGTGAAATGTCTTGTTACTGCCATCAAGCAACTATAACAGTGATGTACATTTACATCACATTTACTATGAATGTTCTTACATTTACTATGAATCACTTGTAGTACTGGCAACTGACTTCATGCAGAATACCGATTGTCAGTGTCCAGGACACTGCGAAGAATGTGGATGGCAGAGCGCATTAAAGACGCAGTAGCCATAAAAACCAATACCCAAAAAATGTTAATGATCCAAATTCTTTCAGTGTTTGGAAATGTACAAAGAAGCTGAGGACTTGCTTTTTGCCTAGATGGGAATTTCATGACAGCAAAAAAGATTTCTAAAATACCACTTATTTATTCAACACTAGGGATGTGCTTGGTGCAGCTGAGGGACTCTGGATGAAAAACTGTATTTAATATCCCAGATTCACCCAAAAGCTCAAATAAGCAATGACACTGCAATTGCTGACAGGTGAAGACTACCTGGCTCACTTAATCTTACAGAGCATTATCATGGATGGCCTAAAGCAGTCTGTAGTCATTCCACAAGTATCAGAATGGGGTATATTGCTTCAGTACTCCTCCCATATTCCTGGATGGCAGAGGACGTATGAGTGACATAAATTGCCTTTGCCAGCTCACTGCCCTGGAGAAAATCCACAGCAGCTGCCGCCTTACACAGCCAGAGCCACACAGATGCTGGCTCAGGAAAGCAGTGGTCCATGCAAAATGCAGTCACTAAGCAAACTAAAATAACTGAATAAGAAACTACCTTTTCCTAATGCTAAATTGCTTTTGGGGGTTTGATATGTATATCAGGTCACTCCTTGTATCACTATCCTTTATACAGGATTTCTCTTTCAAGTCCGTAGCAGATCATGCTTACTAAGCAAGATGGTAAGTGTTGCAAACTTCTAGGGTCTGACAAACTTTATAACGAAAGAACCCATGGGCCATGATACCCTCATATTACTAGTTCAGAACTGACCCAGCTGGTAATGTTCAATATTAACAAGTGAAACATTGAAAGAGGTGTCTTCAAAGGGCTCATTGTTTCAGTTCAGACCCACAGAAATTCAGACTGCATTTGACAAAACTAACACTCTGG